TTCTTTTTGTTGCTCAAAAGTTAAACCTACATCAGGAGTCATTGATGGTGGAGAAAAGTCCTCAACACCCTCAGAGACAGGAACAACTTTTTCTGTGTCCAACACATTCATTTTCAATAAATGAAATTTTAAGCTTGCCCTTATAGTCTTAAAAGTTTTCTTATTGCCAACATCAACCTTGTAGTAATCAGCAATTTTTATTAGTTGATCCTTTGTACACCCATCTATAATATTCTCACACGGTGCCTCCACAAACGCTTTTACAAAGTCATCCATGCCTCAACTTAACATCAACACACAAGACAACAAGATGAAGTGTTGAGGCTTAACAGCGTGCACCAAGGCCTAAACAGCCACACCAAAGGAAGGTTCCCTATCTTTTAGGGAGGGGGGGAAAAAAAGGATGCTCCAACCACCGTACCTCAACACTACAAGTCACCCCCCCCAGCGAAACCCAAAGGGGAAACACTGCTAAACCTAGCAAGGGAACCCCCTGTACAATAGCATGCACACATGGCTCAACACTTACCTCGTCATGCTGCTGCGATCCAAACCAACAAAGGACAGCCGAACAGTCTCCTCAGCCACAAACAACTAAAAATAAAGAAATTCCCAATTTGTTACGACTGGCTCTTAGGCCGCAACAAAGGAGGAGACACACAGGTGGGTTCAACTGTAACATAAGGCTATTTATTGATCAAAGTAGAATCGTGAGGTGTGATTGTGAGCGTCAGTGGTGTGCGAGGGTGTATGAGTGCAGTGATTGATGTGTGGTGCATGTTGTCAGCATGAAACAAACAAAAAGAGACAAACACAGGAGCATGGCTGGCTGGGTATGGGAGAGAAGAGAGAGCGATCTGGCACAGCAGGCCGGCTTATATACTCAGTGAGATTGGCCAGGTGCACCAGGTTAGCAGATTGGAGGCTCCGCCCAGCCAGAAACCTGCAAGACAAGAGTGAGAGAAGACAGAGGCTCTTCCCAGTCTCTGTTCATCTGGGTACAGTAAGCACGTAACATGGACTTAAGAGTTTGATGAAAACGCTCCAAGGCACCTTGGCTCTGGGCATGATAGACAGATGCCTGATTGTGGTCAATGCGCAGTTCTAAAACCTGTGCAAACAAATGAGAGGAAAAATTTGACCCCCTGTCAGACTGAATGACCATGGGAACACCAAAAATGGAGAAAAAAAAAAAACTGTCAGTGCTCGCACTACAGACCGAGCTGTAATATTACGCAATGGATATGCAGCTGGGTACCTTGTACACTGGCACATCACTGTGAGCAAGTAAGTAGCACCAGACTTAGATGGAGGTAATGGACCCACACAATCAACAATTAGATGTTCAAAAGGCTGACTTATGGCTGGGATTGGACACAGTGNAGGAGTCGACCTACTTCTCTGGTGTTGTGTTCAACAGCTATCAAGAAATGATGAATTTGACTGAGCACAAATGTTTCGTCGATATCTAGAACAAGATTGTTTGAAAAGATTGAGTTTATGTTAGAATGATGGTGAAAAGAAGGGCGTGGAGAAGGAAAGGAAGGACACAACACAGACGGTGTTTGTAGGAGGTTTATACTGCAGGTTAATGCAGGTGATACAAAGCATCAAAGAGTCGTTACACAAGCATGATGTGGTTGATCAGTGGCTCTACTCAGCCTCCAGATGAAGCCATTTGAAAGCAACATTTTTTGATTTCTTACAAGAAATTTCCATATTACCAGCATTTTAGAACACATGGTTACATGAATTTTATCGCGGCAGAAGCTGGACGGACCAACAGGCAGCTGGTTTAAAGGGAGCTCACATCGAGATCAGCCATGATGTCCGTGACCCAGGAGAGACTGGGATCCACGCAGATGTGACGAGATTTTGTTGTAACAAAACTGAAATAAAAAAAAGTGAGAAAGGTTAACGTCAGTATCATGACTGACACTCTTTTCTGACTTTTTATCCAAAATAAGAACAGCCATGGAGGAAAAACATACACGAGGAAACGCTTTACTGATAACTGGAGTAAAAATGAGACACAAAACAGCAAGAAACCATTTCACTCTTGAAGTTTCATAGTGATACTGAGTCATACACTTATTTACATGATTGTGTTTAACATAGTGAGAATGAAGTAAATCCAGTTTGCAGCACTTACATGACTGCAGGCTTGATGCACCAGTGATCAGTCATGTAATATGAGTTGATGAGGTTTTTGTTCAGTCTTGATGGGTAGCATGTGAAGCAGCAGTTGCCTGGAACTGAAGAAAAGAGAACTGAGTTGTGTATCATCAGAGTGTCTGGAAAAGTAAGACGTCGGTTGAAATGACCTACCTAAGGTAGCGTTACGATGGCAGGTAACTGTAGACAACATTGCAGCTCCCAGGATGCAGAACAGAAGGATGTAAGTGGTCCTCATGATGCCTCGATATTCCTTCAAACGATGGACGAAGACGGAGATGAAGCTGGAAGGTGAAGCTCAGAAAACTCACAGAAGAGTCAAAAAAGATCTGAGTTAGTCGTGCCTGCAGAGATACGTAACTGAAGTTTTCATCCACACATAAGTTTCTATGCTGCTGTCAGTGTATCGCTCCTCTTCCAATGTCCTCCCATTCTGGCTCTTTCCACCAATTGGAATCAGCCTTCCTTGTCCAACTGAGATTATTGATGCACTAATTATCCAATGGATGATAAATTTTCTACTTTGATTTTACTGAAGTCCATCTGTCAAAATCCTGGTACAAAAAGGCTTTTCTGGGAAATTTCGTAATGCCTTGTTTGCACATTCCAACGCACTTTGGCACAATCTGCTTTGCCCTCAATATGGTACCATGCCTTTATGCCTTTAGGGGAAAATGGGAATACATGAAACATCATGGAAAAACTTTATTAACCACGAGAAAAGTGTGGAGAAGGAAAAGGAAGGATCCAAA